CCCTATCCTACATCATGATATCTTTTTTTTCTTGATGGTGATTCTGATCTTCGTGTTATGGATGTTGGTTCGTGTTTTATGGCATTTTCACTATAAGAAAAACCCAATTCCAGAGAGAATTGTTCATGGAAGAAGAAGAAGAAGAAGAAGAAGAAGAAGAAGAAGAAGAAGAAGAAGTGCTAACAGGGACCCCCAAAAAACCCTGAAAATTTAGGGCTCTGTTAACCGCTCCTCTGACAGCCAACATGCGCACTTAGAACCAAGAAAGGCCTAAATAAAAAAAAACAGACAACAGAGCTACTCACCTCCGGCACGGGGCTTGGTACCAGTGTATGATGGCCCAACAGACCCGGGGGAACGGCGTAGGATGTGGGAGGGGCTTGCAACAATGCGTGATGTTGAAAAACGAGTGATGGTGGGGGATTTTAATACGGTCTTGTGCCCGGCCTTGGATGCGGCAAGTAATAGGCCACCAGAGAGAGACACTGCGATGATTCAACTACAAAGGGAAGCACTGAGATGCACAGAGACATACAGGCAATGACACCCAGACTAGAACACATATAGGGGTTGTTCAGAAGAGCGGCGAAACAGTATCGACCTGATGTGGGCAACGCAGGAGATAGCAATACGCAGGACGGCGACCTCAGACCATGCAAAGAATGAGCCAGAAGTTTTTTGTGCAATTGGGTAAAAAGAATGGGGTAGCCCTCATGACAGCCATGCAACATCCCGTTGACCCAGATGCAGAAAGGAAGGAGACGGCAAGAGGGATACTGCAGTACAGGACAGAGCACTATCTATCGATGGCTGTTTACTGAGGAGTCGTCCTGGTCTCCGACACAAATGGCAGCCCAGCCGGAGAAGGAAGTTTGGGAGGATGTGGAGAGGCGATTGGATTTTGAAGAGAGCTGTACACTAGATAAGGACATTACTCCTGAAGAAGTGGAGCGAGCAATCACGGAACTGCCAAGGCAAAAGGCGCCAGGACTCGACGGGATGCCGGTGGAATATTACAAGTAATATAGACATTTCTTTGCGATGCTGCTAGCCACAGTGTATAACGAAGTCCTGCGTAGAGAAGCCCTTCCACAGGGATTTGTACGTGGTGCGTATGTGGTGTTGATCCATAAGAAGGGTGCAAACGAGGAAGTGAGAAACTGGCGGCCCTTTTTTTTTCTTTTTTTTTTTAATGGTCCTGACTCCTATTCTGGGGAGCGTTAGTCTGGTTCCTATTCCACCGGCAAGTCAGAATTTACATTAGGATCACTCACGCTTCCTTCCGTTTGGCCGAAAACTGGCGGCCCATTTCTATATTGAACGCAAACTACAAAATCTTGGCTGACCATCTAAAGGGCGGTCCTCCCGCAGCCGATAGACCCGGCACAAACGGGCTCCGTACCGGGACGGCAGATAATATCACATCTTATGTTAGCCCGACAAGTAACGGAGGAGGTGCAGTGTTCGGGCCAGCGGGTGGCCTTTCTGATAATTGACTTCGAAAAGGCGTATGATGATAGGTTGAGGTGGGAATTTCTACTGCAGAGTTACAAGGAGGAGAGGAGTGGGGGGTATTTTTTGTGACTGGGTGAGGGTGATCCTGGCCGGGGCAGCTACGACTATGCAGGTGAACGGGATACGATCAGCAGCTATCCCGTTGACGCGCTCCGTGAGACAGGGATGCCCCCTATCCCCAGCTTTGTATGTCCTGTATGTTGAATCGCTCCACAAAATCCTGAGAGCGGACGCCCGGATTCAGGGACTATGGATGTCTGAAGAAGAGCAGTTAAATTCGTCCGCTTTCGCAGACAATATGGGTGCAATCATTCGCCCGGCCCTCCCACAACTGCAGTACCTGAAAGAGGATCTGTGCATTTTTTGTAAGTACTCAGGTGCCCGGGTCAACTGGGGCAAATCAAGTGCGATCGGTCTTCGCCAGGGGCACGCAGGTAGAGCCAGATCAGAGTATCCCCTTTTGGGGAGTGAGCATTGCGGAGGGAGGAGGTGGCGAAGACCAAATAACAGCCTCGGTAGCAAAAGTTACCGTGCGACTGGCGGCATGGAGGGCAACGACCAGCATGGGGGTGTTTGTGAAAGGCGCTGATAATTAAAAATGAGGTCCTTGCCATGCTGTGGTACGCTGGGGTGGTCCACATGTCGACAAAGCGCATCTTCGGAACAATAAGAAGAGCGCTGGAAGCCCACCTGTGGGCAGGTGAAGCAGAGGGGAAGCGATTCCTACCCAGGGTGGAATGGCCCAAATTGACTCAGCCTAGGGGGAAGGGAGGATAGGGGATAACTGACCCCCAATGGCAAGTTGTGGCACTCCAGATGCTTAGTATTCTCTGGCACCTACTAGGAATCTCGGGGAAACCATGCCGGCTGGTCGCACAACGCCATATGGCAGTGACGCGCAGGAAACCGCCGGAGCATACAGTGGACTTGTGTCTTACAAACGCCAGCCTTAATAGGCCACATGAAGAGGGGTATGATTTGGTCGACCCCGCTGGCGCTGTGGAAAAAGGTGGAATTGATGAATGTCATGCCGGGTACCACAGATGAGGTCTATAACCAGCACCTATTTGGTAATAGATTTATCTGTGACGAGAATGGGGAAGTGTTTCAGTGGCAGGGAGTAAAAGGAGCAGTTGGATGCCAATGGGTGGCCTGCAGTGTATATACGATAGGTCATCTATGGGATCAACAAAGGAAGGACTGGAAGACGGAGGAGGAGGTGATCCGGTTGCTTCCACGGCAGTTTTGGAGGAGGAAGAGACTGAGGGAGAGGCGATTCCGGTGAAGTGGGTGGACTTGTTAAGAAGGAACATAAGTGGAGAAGGGGGAGTGGGTGAAAATAAAAGGGGAACAATGGCCAAGGGTGGTGTGCCGAGTGGACAGGAGAGCAGAGGACGGAAAAATCAGAATGACGGAGTGGGTAGTAAAAACGGGATATGAGGGGTTGGGCACTCCCCTGGAGGGAGGGGGAGAGGAGGGCATTATCAAGGGAAGAGGTTGAAACAGCGGCAGTATACAAAGGAGGGAAAGAGAGGGAGGAGGAGTATCGCCCCTTCTGCGTTAGCAAGGCCAAATGGGATCTGATGATGATGATACTGCATGAATGGAGATGGCCGGCTCAGAATCATACTACAAATCTACCAAGAGTGTGCCGCTCCACATTGTCACCACCAAAACTATATACAACTCCTTGCTGCCTGTGGTAGATGTGTCGGGGGAGTTGAGGGACCGCTGGGCGAAGAGAGACTGGATCTCGATGGCATACATAGAAAGATGGACCGAAAAGAAGTGGAAGGAACAGTGCACCATCTTGAGAATGATACCAGATCAGAGGCAGGCAGGGCTGTTGTGGCAGATTACCCAATTGGCGGTTCCAACAGCCCAGTGGCTGGCCAATAAGATCCAATACCAGAATGCAGTTTGCGCAAGGGAGGGATGCGGGGAAATAGAGTTGATCCCACACATATTCGTGCAATGTGGAGTGGCGAAAAAGTTCTGGCATTGGTGGGCTTCCGTAATGAAGGAGAGCTCCCCGCTGGAGGTGTCTGAAGATGACCAGGCATATATTTTACTAGGAGCAATGATGGTGGCCGACAGACAGGATACAGAAAGGTTATACGTGATGGAGATAACTACCGGTAGGGCGTCCCTGTTGTGGGAAATATGGACACTGAGGAAGGAACATCTATTTCAAAAGCAGGTGCTAAACAACAGCGCACTCGGATGTCTGCGTACGGCCATCATGAAGGACCTGCAGAAGGCTCAGAGAAAGTCGGGAGGCGGGGAAACCAAGTTTTGGAGGACATGGGAACGGTACCCGCAGCTGGCTCGTAAGAATCCTGCAATGGGGCGCATGGAATTTGGGCCCCTGCTGCAACGGTCTGTCGAGCCGGATACAGCTGAACAAGGCCAAAAGAGGGAGGTAGAGGTAGGGGTCAACCGGCTGAAGACAACGGCGGGCTTGTAGGACTTGGGGAAGCAAACAGTAAAAGTAGGATAGATAGAGTGTAGACATAAGGTAGTAGCTAGGAGGGGGTTAGGGCATAAGGGAGGGAAGGGTAGGGCTTAGGTTTGGAAAACAAAGAGGAAGGTGGTTCTATGGCAAGTGTACTAAGAAAGGGAGGATCACGAGATGATTAGGCAAGAGTAGAGGTGTCACGTGAATAGAGATGGAACACAAGGGAGGAGAGATTGCACAGGGTAAAGTGGTAAACCAGCGAGTGAGTAGGAATAAGGGAGTGCCAGGGGGCGTTGAATACTGCGTTGTGGGAACAACCTGTGGGGAAGGAAAGGATTCAAGAGCAGGAGCAGCCAGTTGACTGCAGGTACACGATGGGAGTCTACAGTCTTCCCCCGAATACAACATACGGTCATTATAGCTGTACCTAGACTGAAAGATCCCTCAAATACAGCTATAATGACGGTGCATTGTATTCGGGGGAAGACTGTAGCCCCGCTGGGCCTACCGAGCTCCATAGTGTGCGTCTGGGTACTGAGAGAAAGTTTCCCGGTCACTATGGGCCAGGAGCACGGGATTGGGGAATGGAGCCTCATCTTGTCCCTGCAGCCCCCCGCAACAGGTGTCTCGAGCCGCGGGGGAAAGGCTGCAACATTCTGAGTCTCTACTCTTTGCTTGAACTCGTGTCATGCTTGCCAGTAATAAGTAACCGGACTGCTGCCCCCCAGAATAGAAGGGGCTGGTGTTTTGAAAAAAAAAAAAAAAAAAAAAAAAAAAAAAGTTCAT